AAATTTAAAAGAATAATACCATTTTGAAAATTGTTTATATTTTCAGCCCTCTATAGAAATTTAACACCCCTGAGACCTTTTAAAGGCATGGGGAATTCTGTAGAATGTATAGAAATACTACGTTGTAGGAGATTGTTCAATCCATGATAACACTTGGCGGAACATTTCAACACAGGACTTGGCTCTTTTTCACAATTCGATATCAATCCAGATGTTTATGCAGGAAAATAAAATACAAGAGCTTCCTTGGTCTGATAATTCACAGACCTAAATCCCTTTGAGAACTGAAATATATTCGCAAGAATTGTTTTGCTATGATGAATTGCACGACAACAGAACAGATGATAAAAATTGCAATACAAGTGGAGTTACTCGGAGATAAAGTCAGGCGCATGTGCAATACACTCGCGCAGTCAATGCAAAACGGGTTCAATAGGTCATTTCTGCTAAAAGATGACATACTTCATAATCATATAAAGATTTTTCAGTCTCTTTAAGAGGTTTCGGGGGTAATAAATTTCTCTAGAGGGCTGAAAATATAAACAATTTAAGGTATAATTATTTTAAATTTAAATTAAATAATTCGAATCTCTTGTACTTTATAAATAAAAGAAATGGAGCTTCACACACACACAGAAAATTATAAAATGTTTGAAATAAAATCATAAATTTAAAATTTATGAACACATAAAAATGCTTTAATACATTCGAAGTAATTCTTGCGTTGTTCACGCTGTTTTCTAAAATAGTAGCCTGTGATGTATAAAATCTTATAGAGATATAAAATGTATCATACTCTTTAAACTCTACATCATTTAAGGTATCCGACTATGTTCGAAACCGTGATTTTGCAAAGCGCATAAATGGATAATTTTCATGGTATTTAGTGTCACTTTTAGATTAGAATATATGCATAAAATTGTTTTTAAGGACATTTTGACAAAAAAAAATTTATTTAAGTATAATATTTTGGCAAAAGATTAACTTAGAATAATCTTTTTTCCAAATGTTCTCCTTTTGTGCAAAATGCTTCTGTTATAATAATATTTTGCCTGTATATAGCTCGGACCTTTGTTCAGAGGCTGAACTAGAATTTTTGAAATATATAACTTAGAAGTGGGTTTATTCCTATTTTACGACAACAGAGGGGAGCAATTTTAAGAAAAAAACGCCAATAATTATTTTAATGGGTGGTAACTCTGAAAATAATGTGGATTTTTCAAAAATTCTAGTTGAGCCTCTGTAGAGAGGTCTGAGCTATATACAGACGAAATATTATTATAATAGAACCATTTTTCACTAAAGGAGAACATTTGAAAAAAGATTGTTCTAAGTTAATTTATTGCCAAAATATTATCTTTAAATAAATTTGTTTTGTCAAAATATCCTCAAAGCAAATTTATGCATGTATTCTAATCTGAGTGACACTAAATATCATGAAAATTATCCATTTATGCGCTTTTTTAAAATCACTGTTCCGAACGTAGTCGGATACCTTAAGAGTAATATATCTTTTGTAATTCAAAATATTTGAAAAATATTGAAATTTTTTTTAAAAATTTGAAACGCAATTTTTTATTTTTAAACAATAAATATTGTTATTCTAATTATATAATATTACTACAGTGTAATAAGGATAAATTTAACTTTATAAATCATTCTTATAACTAGTAATTAAAGCTACTATTTTAGAAATCAACATGCGCAACGTAAAACTTAATAAATATTTCTCATATAGAAAAGTTTCTTTTTTTCATATGCTTATAATTTTTAAACTTATGACTATATTTGAAACATTTTATACTTTTTGGAAGCCCCATTTCTTTATAAATACTGTGTAAAAGATTCGAATTTTTTTATTTAAATTTAAAAAAAATATACCTGTTTGAAAATTGTTTATATTTTCAGCCCTCTAAAGAAATTTAACACCCCTGATACGTCTTAAGATATGTAGTGGTTAAAACCTAATGTTTTAGAAAAAATCGTCTATTTTCTCATTTGTCCCAATTAATTCCAACAGTAAAGTATGTGTTCGAACACAATTGTTGGCATGGTGTGGAATTTTGAAAACAGGTGTGTTAGATTAGGTATCATCCGTGACAGTATATTATGATTTGGAATTACGAGATCCACATCCCCAATACCTTTCATGTTTATTTGAAATGCAACGTTAATAGTTCAATCAAACTGAGCGGAATTTGAAAGGATATAAAAAGTTCAATAACTTTTGGAGAATTTCTTGTAAGCTATTACGCTATTATTTACGCTATATTAAATTTTGTTAATGGATAAGATTTGTTCGAGTTTCTGCTGTTGTATAGTAGATATTTTGTATAGCAGATATTTATTAGAGAAGTAAATATTTTGTTGATATATATGCGTATTTCTGTAACTTTTATGGCACTTCGGCCTGAAACATATTAGGTTAGTAATAGTACGTTTAATTTGGAAACTATAGTCATTATCGCTGCAGATAATAACAGTTGCTATTATTGTGGATCTTAGAATAAATTGATAAATAGCTTGTTTTTCAATATAATTTTTGAAAAATAAAATTTCAGTTTGTATCTATTTTTTTTTTTAAATCTTGTGTGTATCATAAATACTTTGTGAGGGAAATTAAAGATTTAAATATTTATAAAAGAATAATTTAAAAGTGGTCTCAGTGGTGCTAATTTTTTTCTCGAGGGGGAAAATTTTAAAAAAAAATTCAAAAAGGTATAATTTTTTTAAATTTAAATTAAATAATTCGAATCTCTTACACATTATTTACAAAGGATTGTGGCTTCAAAAAAGTACAAAATGTTTGAAATATAATCATAGTTTTAAAAAGTATATGCATATGAAAATTATGTAATATTTATTAAGTAATGTTTGCTTTGCGCACGCTATTTTCTAAAATAGTAGCTTCTGATGTATAAAACTTTATAGAATTATAATATGTATCATAATCTTTAAACTCTATAACATTTAAGAATAATATATCTTTTGTATTTCAAAATATTTGAAAAATATTGAAATTTTTTAAAAAAATTTGAAAATGTAATTTTTTTAATTTTTTAAAAACACAATAATTTATTATTCTACTAATATAATATTACTACAGTGTAAGAAAGATACATTTAACTTCATAAATAACTTATAGATAGTAATTAAAACTGTTATTTTAGAAAATAACATTTGCAACGTAAAACTTAATGAATATTTCTTATAGAAAGTTTTCTTATTTTCGTACGCTTTTAACTTTTAAAATTATGATTATATTTTAAACATTTTATACTTTTCTGAAGCCCTATTCCTTTATAAATACTGTGTAAAAGATTCGAATGATTTAATTGAAATTTTTAAAAAATTATATTTGTTTGAAAATTGTTTATATTTTCAGCCCGCTAGAGAAATTTAACACCCCTGTGACGCCTTAAAATTGTTTATGTAAAAAAAAAGATTGATACTAATAACATTTATAAGCATAGTATATTGAGAGCTGCTTCATGGGGTTAAAAGAAATTTTAGGCCTATTTAAACTTCCCCTTAATTTCTATAGTACTTAGAGAAATCCTAATATATGTAATGGATAGATTATTTGAATTTAATATTAGTAAAATGGGTTATGCATCCATAAAACCATTAGAAAATAATTAGATCACTGCCTGAATCAATGAGTAATAAACTAGTTATTGCTAGATTCAGTAATCTAAATATAGGTTCAAAGTTTAACAAAAAAAAGAAAAAAAAAACAATCAGTAGCATAAATGTTAATTGTAAAATACTATTAACCCTTTATCTACCGCCTTATGATGTACTGTAGTTTTTTTTTATGTAATATTTATTTTTAATCCCTGAATTGAAAATTAAGGGATATAATAACAAAACAAACAAAACATAACATAACATAACATAAACAAAATACTAAACTTTGGGAAATTTAATCCATTAGAGCTAAGTAATTAATTAAAGATTTTCAACTGTAAAATTAATTATATACACTGTGCACTTGAAATAAATAGTCAAAATCATTTTCTAAGGTCTTCATAAACATACAAAAAATAAGACAATCACCTTTTGACATAACTATTTTTTCGGAACAAAAATGACTATCTTCGCAATCCGTTGAAAACGCCGTCAGCTGAAAACGCAATTTCTACTTTAAAACTATTCGCCTTTCCCGCTAAATTACTCATCATAGAACCAGTGTTGGCATATATGTTGGAAGAGTGGATTTAAAAGAATATTCGGGCCAAACATCGCCATGGTATTCGTGAAAATGGTTATTCTATGTAATTTTAAAAGGAGTAGTACTTATAAGTACCGTCGGTAGGTAAAGGGTTAATGTAATCAGATAAAATCAATCTAAAATTGCATCAATAAAATTAAGAACGTCTTTATAATTTTTCCATGGGCAACAATAACAAACAACTAATATGTACCTTAAGACAATTTATGTGAGTTCTTTATCAACTATCAGAAATCCATTTATTAATCATTCTCTTCATAACGTATCTAAAATTACTATATTTTACTATTCTTAGATCTCCTATGATCTATAATATAAAAATATGAAGGGCTCAAGGGATGGCAGCAAGTGCCGGTGCCATGACACGTGACTGAGCGCACTTTACAGGAATGCGTGCTGAAATCCCCAGAGAGGAAGGTAGAGAACAGAGCGAGTGAGCCAGACGGAACGGAGAGCGAACACACACACACACACACACACTGGTAATATAAAAAAAAAAAATTAAGTCAATTCCTACTTAGATCAACAAAGAAAAAAATTATTTTAGTTATTTTTTTAAGTAATTACAATTAATATAAATATGTATAAGACAGAATTACAATTTTAATTGGCAAGATATAAAGCGATTTTCTTCCCATGCCAGTTTCCTTTCTATGTATGGTGTTGGATTATTATTTTTGTTTGTTACTATTTATTCATTAATTAAAAATTTAATTATTCCAACAAAAGAGCACATTAAAAAGAAATCACATTCTCAGAAATTAGGTTATGCCACGTGGGATTCGAACCCACGACCTTTGGATTAGAAGTTCAACACGCTATCCATTGCGCTACAGTTTCACAATGAGCAATTTTCCTTTTTATATATGGCGTTTAACTATTATTTCGGCTTGTTACAATTTATTCATTAATTAAATGGAACTGATGAATTAATATTTGAAAAAAATGTATTAACATCAAGTGCCATCCACTACAAGCTTAAAAAATGTATTTCAACTTGAGTGGATGAATAAAAAGCATTTTATTAAAGATTAGAACTTTGAACAAGAGAGTGTGATCTAATTGTAGGAATTTAAAAAATACAAATTTAAGCCACATGACAACGACGCATGTTCAATTGCTTTAGTTCGTTATTTGTGTAGTCTGTTTTTCCTCGTTTTTGTTAAAATAAATAGTTTTGTTTGTTAACTCCTAATATTTCCTAGCTATCGAACTACACTCCAGATATAACATATATATATATAATCACCCCTCACATAGACATTTTATAACAACTAACAACTAGTGTTACGGCAAACTCCAAAAATTCAGTAATAAATTAAGCAGTATAAATATGTTTTTATAAAATTTAAATTCTTATTTTCTGAAAAATAATATAAAGATCCGGATGCTATAGAGTTCATTATTCAACATGACATAAACACTCTTCTTTCCGCCTAAAGAATAAAGCAAAGAAAAAAAAATCAAATTTCTCATACGACAAGATCATGATTACTTAACGGAACAACAATCAGAAGGTTCTCGTTTTTTCTACTTCGAATAAAATAAAATTCCTAATTCTCCTTTTCTCCGGGTCTTCATTTCCATAAATCATTTTCCTTAAAGCCTTTCTAATTTATTAAAGAGATTCAATGACGGGAAAAAAAGGATATGATAAAAATAAAAGGAAGAACAAAATTTTATTAATGCAGCCGGACTAGGAAAGGAAAAATGGGAATTAATAAAGGTATTTTGTATTCCTATCTTCGGCGTAACGGTAAAGACTAATTGATTTATCAGCGAGAAACAAATTAACTCAAGCTTCGCAATGTCATCTGCTATTTATTCTTTACTTCACTTTACTTCTTCATTACGTGGAAGAAGCGGCGAAATGGAATAATAAACAGAAGGGTATGGATGTTAATTTCTGGAACAAAGTGCAAAAACAATTTGCGAATGTTCTTTTACATTTACTTGATTTTGAAATTATTTTATGTGTAATTTGGTATTTACCTTGTCATAAATAATTTGAAAGTTATAATGCTTTTGTAAAAGTAAAATGCTATCAAGACTTAGAAAAAGTTGATTTGAGCATAATTTGTGCTTTTATGCATTTATTAGTACTTGTATGTTATATTACAGTTTTTGATAAAAATAATTATATCATTTTTGATGAAGAAAGATTATGTTCTATGCTTGCAAAATCTTAGCTGAAGTAAATTTTTTAATGGAATATTTGTAAAATATTAAAGTTTGTTAGATATTTATTAATATAAATAAAATTATTTTTTAAAAAATCAATTAGAAGTAAACAAATATAATGAAGATTATATACACACATTGCTTTTATAAAATTACATTAGTATACTTATCTTAGGTTCTAACTATCTGTTTATTTTTATGTTTTGGATTATATATATATATATATATATATATAAATGTGTGTGTTCTGTGTAAATATTTTACAAAACCTCTCTTATTACAGGGTGACCCTGAACTATTGGGACAAACTTTAAGAAGAGGTAAAGGGACTTATACGGATTCAGATTTGCATAACAATCCATGGCCGGAAATGTCTTCGTTTGGCTCTGGGTGGCGTTGTTCACAAGAGGGTTACTATTGTATATATAATGCAGGAAACAAACCTTCATTACAGCAGTCATTTGAACTGCCATCGTTCGAAGAGGAGTATGGAACAGTTTTACGAACACCTAGCTGGCAGCTATGTATCAGATTCATGGATTGGCAGAAATATATGCAGAAGCAGCAGAAAGATTGTATATTGAAAGGTAACCTCAGAGAGATTAACCAAACCGCTGGGTATTTACTAACTTGCATCACTATTTGTGTGAATATGTATAATCACGACATAATAAGCAAAATGAGTGTAGGCCAGAGTGACTCGAACTTCCAGCATAGAACAAAATGTGTTGGATACTGTTCGAAGGAATTCAAGAACCAGCCTACAAACCGTCACTGCTGCCATAGTAGGATCTGTTAGAAGTGTACATCGTTTATTGTAACGTGAAGCAAAACTATTACACTCATATCTTCTTTAAGAAAACCATCACAAATTTTGATGCAAATTTGTAAGTAGCCGACGGTCTGGGGCATTCCTTTGAGGGTATATTTCGTGATAAAATATTTCTGCTGCTCATGCATTTCCTCCTGCCAATCCGTAAATCAGATTCATATCTACCAGCTAGGTGTTCGTGAAACTGTTCTATACTTGTCTAAGGGCGAGTGCAGTTCAAATGACTGCGGTAAAAAAAATACTGGTCTGTGTTACCTCCAATGCTCTTGTTAACAACTCCACCTGAGGCCGAACGAAAACGCTTTTCCGAACATGGGTTGCTTATGCAAATATGAGTCCTTGTGATGTCCCCTACCTTCCCTTAAAGTTTTTCTCGATAATCCTTGGACACTCTGTACATATCTATATCTATATATATATATATATATATATATATATATATATATATATATATATATATATATATGTGTGGGAGACAACAAGGGGTCCAAGATGTTGGTCTTTCTTCTGGTTTATTTAAACATTAAACAAAAATTAATTAAAAAGGTAGATATTACAGATAAGTTTGACGATCATATTCAGAAGGTAACGCCTGCTCGCGCACCTCTCGCGTTCTCCTTTCTCTCTACTCTAATGTCCAAAAGTTTTTTCTCAAGAGTCTCTGCTTTTTTCAGTTTCAGTTCTGCTTTTACTTTGATGCGCCTGCGCGCGAAGACTGCGTTGCTTTTGGCTGCATGCCACAACGGCCATTCTGACCGTACGCTGTCCGCAGCGGTATTTCCATGGAGACCAGAGGAGAATCTGAAACATACAAAAAAACGGAACAGACAAGGACTATACGACAAATATATAGAGATTAAACATATCATAATTTTTCTGAACTAGACAGTTTCTCCATCATGTGAAGGCACCTCTTCGACATCCGGAAGGTTCCACAGGAAAACACATAGTTTCACAGGCATAAGAATGTCTTTTTTAACAAGTTGATCTTTGGTTGAACGCATCGATATTTTCCTCTGTAGAGTTCTGGACGTCTGTTCAAAACGATTTCTCTTTTTCCTTCGTTTCCACTGCCAGGGCTGGAAGATCCTTTGGAGCAACACAAACCGACGATGTTTACTTCATAGGTAAAGGGTTAGGTGAGCGGGAGATAAATTCCACGGAACTCGTTTTCATGGCACCATTGGCTTTCTTACACAATACTATATCAGAACATTTTTCTCTTACAATACTCAATTTTAACTTAGTACTCTTAATTTTATTACATTTATAATAATTAGAGAACTCGAATCATTCCTAGTATTAAAGTTTTCAACATATGGCAAATCATAACTAGAGTTTTCTATCACATTTGAAACAGAAACATTTGAATTAAAATGAACACAAGCATGAGCACCTAAAGAGGATTCACTTTCATTCAATAAAACATCGCTCTTTGCGTGGCCTAGTTTCTCTATTTCAGAATATACACTGGGATGTATAATAAATTCTTCGGTCAAGGTCAGTGATATTGCCGTTCCAACACTTAAGCTAGAGAGTGTTGATTAAGAGAAATATTTATGGGTTTAACTTCTACCATTCGCTTTTCGCCAAAACATGAACTTAATGTTATGATCTCTTCGGAAGGTGTTTGCACTCTAATTAGTGAGGAATTTAAAAACTGGGATCTGGCAACCTGAATCAATCAATGCTGTTACGGGCTGATTTTCCACAAAAATGTTTACGTATTGAAGATTTGGGCATTCTTCGCTATTTTGTTTTTCGCTCTCGATTTTCAAAGTATTCACATTTATTCTATTATGGATGTGATCATTAGATTCTTTAGGTTTAAAACGCTTCTCACAGTCTCTTGCGCAATGAGATGAATCACCGCATATAAAGCAATTTTTATTTTCTCTTTCAAGATATTGGGGATAGTTCTCTTTAACCTTTGGTTTAAAGTTTTGTGATCTATTTTTAAAGGGGTCTTGGGTATATCCATAAGTAATAGGAATTTCTTTATGTGATCCGCTACTAGATGAAATATAAATTTTACACTCTTTTAGCTAAATCAATAGGCCTAAACCAATCTTCTGCTTCTCGAATGCCAATATGAGTTGCAGTTTCCTTATTTAAAAGTTTTGAACTGTTTCTCTTCGAATTTAGCTGCAGGATTTAAACTTAATGCTTTATTTTTAACCCTTTGAAGTTCGACTTCTTTTTCTAACTGTGCTAACTGTAGTTTCGCGAGCTCAATTTTCTGTTTTCCTGAAGTTACTTCTCTTTTTGTTTCGCGATACCCTCTCATCTATACAGTTTTGAATTAAAGTTTTAACGAAATCTGGATCACTTTCAAATGTACTACTGTTCTCAATTTTAGTGTTTAGTTTAACTATAGTGTAAGTATTCTCCACAGTACCGTTTAGCTTCTCAACAACTCTTATGAAATCCTCTTTAAGAGCGTTTTTATACATTTTATAAAAATTTGGAAAGGTCCTACCTTTTTTTTTTCTGGCTCCCTTGTTGCTCGCACGTACGATGTATCCAATAAAAACGTTGATTCCACTGATGTCACCTCTTCGCAGGTAATATAGTTGAAATTGTAGTTCCGGCCTCTACACAGGCGGATTATGCACACTGAATTAGTTCCAACCTCTACACAGGCGGGATTTTCGTCGATGGGTTTTCCAACCTCTACACAGGCGGAATATTTGTCGATGGTTCGTTGCAAAATACCTCTACACAGGTTATTTTGCTATTTGTTCCGACCTCTACACAGGCGGAATGAAGTTGAAAAATCCAACCTCTACACAGGTTGAACGAAGTTTCCGAAAAATGGCGGAGCGTCTCC